TGGGTGCTTTCTGTTTTCCTGTCTTCTAGGTCACTTATTTGTTTCTCTGCATTATCTAGCCTGCTTTGTACAGCCTTTACATCAGCTCTCATCTCAGCAAATGAGTTTGCCAATTTTTCCTGGCTCTTCTTCATAGCTTCAATTTCATTTTGACATATTTTATATCTCTAAACACTATCTGTTTTAGTTCCTTTAGTACTTTCATCACTCCTTTTTTGAAATCTTCATCTAGTAGGCCATCAATGTCTATTTCATTGATTGTTCTTTCAGGGGGTTTCCCTTATTCTTTTAACTGGGGGTGGTTCCTCTGCTTCTTCATCTTGCTCGTATCTCTCTGGCACTGTGGCTTATAGAGCATCATTTATCTATTATGGTCCTTAAGGAGTTTATTTATTTATCTATCTAAAGCCTAAGCTGGAATAAAACTTGAAAAAGAGAGAGAGAGAATTTTAAAAGATGGGAGAGAAAATAAAAGGTTTGGTAACAGTGTATAATTAACATTAGAAGAACAAGTTGAAGCAAAATAGCTATCGAGTTGAGACGTCTTTTAAAAACCTTAAAAAAATGTAGAAAAGAACAAAGAAATATTTGAAACCTGAGTATAATCAATAACAGGAGACCAAAACCAAGAGAAATAAAAATGAAATGAGGTGGATTTTAAAAATATATAATAACAAAAATATTTTAAAAGAAAAAATTTAAAGGGATTGAAACTGGAGACATATACGATTGTTTAAAAATTAAAATTTAAAAAGGTAATAGAAAATATAACAGATTTTAAAAAAACGAAAAAAAAAAGGGGATGTGTTCTCGTGGAGACCTTGCGCTCTTCATGATTTTATCGAGAGGTCTTTCTGTCCTCGCCTTGCTGCTGAACTCAGCTCGCTGCTTCCAGAGGCCGTCTGTTGGCGTCCCTGGTCTGTGCTGCTCCCTGTGCAGGTCGGCAAGCAGATCACATGCCCTCCCAATGCCGCGGTCAGGTGCTGTGCTCTTACTCAGTGGGCAGGTGGGTCACGCCCCCTTCCGATGCCACGATCCCACAGGGTAGGCGAGCAGGTCTCGCCCCCTCCCAACAGCATGGTATGTGGCGGGCCACTCCCCTTCCCGATGTCTCTGTCAGATGCTGCTCTTGGGCAAGGTAGGGGGCAGGTCGCGCCTTTTCCCAGCACCAAGGTCAGGTGCTGTGTTCCTGCCGGGAAGGCGGGTGGCCACTTGCCCTCTCCTGGCGCCAGTCGCTCCCCTGTTCTGTGCAGCTGCCCACCCCGTAGGCGAGCTCGGGGAAGACGTTGGAACCACCTTGCCCCTGCTCCGTGCCAGAACTGAGTTCCTTGTTCGTTCGTTTTGGAGGCGAGAGTTCTCAGAGGTACAAGGGCAGAATGATCCTATCTGCCTGGGGCTGTAAACAAGCCTCCATCTCACCTTTGAGGCTACTAAGCCCTTAGGTATGGATTCAGGTTTCAACCCCGCCCCCGCCTGGGTGCTAAGCACTGGAGGATATGGGGGCTGTGGCTGAGCCCCGCCTCTCCTCTCCCGAAAACTGATTCAGTGGGTTTTCAGAGATAGGGGTTATGGCACACTTCCCCCCAGGGCACATCAGCCCTGTTGTTTTATGGAGGGCTCAGGTTGTTTTGCCCTGTGTACCCGCTCATCCACGGCGTGCAGCAGCAGCACCCTGCAGTCCCCAGGGGTTGCCTCTGTGCAGCCTGTCCCATCCCCCACTGTCACTTTGCCTCTAGGGCTAGGGGTTGCGGAGACCCTCTGTGCCCATTTACCTTAGTTCTTTCGGTCAAGGGGTGCTCCATACAGATCTGAGCTTCAGAGGTTCCCCCTCCATCCTGCTGACCTCTCTGTTGGAGAGGGGGAGACCCAGCAAAAGAGCGCTATTCCCCCTTTGCCGCTCCCTCCCTGTGGGGCCAGTCCTGCACTGTTTTGCTCTTTCTTCTTTCTTTTTTCCTTTTCTCCTACCAGATTTGTGGCGTCTTTGTCTTTTGAAGAGGGCGATGTTCTGTCGGAGTTCAGCAGGTGCTCTGGCTGGCTGGGTGGGTCTGTGGATGTGAGTTTTGGTGTATTCATGGGAGAGGGTGAGCTACCAGCGTCCTTCTACTCCGCCCTCTTGGCCGATGACTCAACCATGACCCTTTTGCTTACCCACTATGTGCCTTTTAGCAAATCATTAGCCCCTCTCAGTTTCTTCAGGGTCAGATGATGTCATGTGGATAACTTGCTGCCAGCCTCCCTCTCCTTGCTTGTGAAGTGGAGAATCCACACCACACCTACCTCAGGATTATAGTGAGGAAACCACATTGTGTGTGGCACACAGTGGGTTCTCATTTAAGGGCAGCTTCTCACTCCCCAGGCTCCATTCCTACCTCACCTTCTATGAATCATTCTATTCTCACTTTATATTCCTATTTCTTTAGTGACATTTCTAAGAGAGGGTTCAATCTCACCTCCTGACTTAACCTGGCTCCTCTTCTTCATTCTCCTAATTTTGGATAAAGTCCACAGACGTCTCTTCTTCTTTCTTCTCATATTTGTTGAAATTTCTTCTCCTTCATAGCAGAGATATCTAGTTTTGAAGGGCTGGGTTCCCTCCCTGATGTTCAGTTTTGGGTTTTATTCTAAGACCAAAGGACAAAAACTGAACTTTTGTTAAGTACTTAAACCATTCATATGATTTTTCAAAGCCTTTGCTTCTGAGACATTAATCTCTACCCTGTGCGGAGTATGAAGATGTTTATTACACCCATAGAACAAGACACTCCTCATAATCAGTGGGGACAGAGAATTAAGTTCAGAAAGCAGGTGCATTTCCAATCATGCAGAATAAGGCAACGCACTCATTACTACTTAATGATGTGCACCACCTCAACTTTGCTCTGACAATCTAGGGCACAGCTGTGAAAGTCAGTAAAGCAAACAGAACTCCAATTGTCATAGCCTCATGCTCCACATTGTTCTCCTGATGCAGACACTTCCAAATGCAAGGAGTCCTCTGGTCCAGTGAGCCTCAAAACAGTAAGCTCTGTGACTTGGGCAATAACATGATGAGCATTTTAGTTTGCTCGGTTTCTTCTCTCCCATGTTCTGTTTGTATTGGTGACTGGTTCAATGAACCAGTTCACTGCCTGGAGCAGTATATTTCCCTCCCAAAAGCTGCAATAACATACTACCATTGGCGTGCAGTCAGTTCATGTAAATAAATTAAAGGACACATTGGCTGGACCCTGAAACTTCCTGTTCATGTTATTCATATTCCTTCACCCTATCATGGAGTTTTCACCCCCTTCTACTGAGCATAACAAGCACTCAAAAGGCTTGGTCAAACACTAGAAGTGCCCCCACAAAAACTCAGGTCAGTGCAAACAGCAACAGGTTCACCCCTGTTCATTGTCCTCCATCTTCCACCAAATGACTCAGTCAGCTCCCCTTTAAATCTTTGACTGATCACTGAATGACAAAATGTATTAACATTGCTTTAAAAGCAGGAATACACACACACACACACACACACACACACACACACACACAAGAACTTACTAGCTTCAGCTAACCAGTGTTTTGAAAGGTGCTCATGTAACCAAACTCAGGTTTGACTGCTCACTGCTCAAAAGCCAATATCCAAGAGGCAAATGTTTGTAGGAAGGACAGTTGCATTAATCAGACAGCTGTCAATCACGGGAGAAGGTGGACACATGTCCTGAGACCAATTTGAATATTCTGCTCAGCTTTGACAGGTTTTAAAGGGAAAAGGGAAAACAATCCCAGTTAATCATTAAAGTAGGAGGTTAGATTTTTCATCATTTTTCCATTGCAAGCAGACCTGTTGACTTTTCCTGATCTTCCTTTTGAAGCTATCATGCCCACATGGTCTGCCTGCAATTGGATGCTACCTTGCCCTCCGTGGTCTGTCTGCAAATTTACTAAGGGGTAGCTAGCGGTAGAGAGTCATTCATTCTTTAATCACTTTAATTACTACTTAATTCTTCATTCTTAGTCCTTTTAATCCAGGAAAGGAATCCACAGGTTAGGTAAGGCATTGTGAACCCTCAGTAAAGCAAAAATCAGAAGTTAGGGTATATGTGACCTAGAGATCTAATTTTTATGATTAAGGTTTAAGGGGAACAGAAATAGACAAACAGGAAGTGGCAACATGCTGTGTACAAATCCCCACTTGTCAGACATTTTTTTTTCCATTTCTATGGGAATTGGGGTGGGGAGGAAGGCCCACCTTCTGTAACTTCTTCATGCCGACATACGGTGTTGTATTCTTAGAGTGGAAGATGTTGACATGGGTCTGTAGAATCTCTTTGCTGACAATTTTAGTTACATGCTTACACATATGGGCAGAACAAGCTACAATGATTCTGATGCCCACAAAGATATAGATTATTATGAGCAGTGGTGCCAATCTCATTTTCTTAAGGCCAGTTTTGGGAATTGTACTAGCCATAGATTTGGTAATGGCTCAAGATGGAGAAGCTTACGTCATGGCTACAGTCTGATTATCACGCAGTTGGCTTTTTCTCTCTGGTGGCAGTTACAGTATCTGTAAAAAGCTCAGGAATATGCCTCATGTCTGTGACTCTATTGTCCTAATCATTAACTGCTCAAGTCTGCTCTTTTGTGACTCTGGGGAGGCCTGGGAGACTTCAGCTTTTCTACAAACAAGAGGCAGGGACCTAAAGGGGCTTTTGGACTTGGGGGGCCTTACAGGGTTCTGCTCAGTTCCACTCATTCTCTGACACTATCAAGTAACCTCATAATGAAAATATATTTTAGCTTGCCAAGGTTTAGATAACCTGAAGAAGACAGGCTAGAGGTTATATGTTGCATTTACTAGAAAAAAATAGGTTTACACTGGCAACTGTTATACCAAGATTTTACTCACACTGAAAAAATAACAATGTTTTGTCACAGTGATAGCTTCATCTCTCATATCATTAAATGGGCAGGAAATGAAAGGAAATTTGCCTTCTCAGATTTTTCAGCGGCACTGCACTTTTAATATATGCTCTATTTTCATTCCATGCCACGTATTTCAGCCTGCAGAATTCTTCCTGGGTGTTTTTTTTTTCCTTTCTCTTTTTTTTCTAACTTTTTTTTATTGAGTTACAGTCATTTTACAACATTGTGTCAAATTCCAGTGCAGAGTACAATTTTTCAATTATACATGAACATACATATATTCATCGTCATTTTTTTTTGCTGTGAGCTACCACAAGATCTTGTATATATTTCCCTGTGCTATACAGTATAATCTTGTTTCTAAATCATGTGTGTACCTGCGGTTTGAGAGTTCCAACAGGCTGTCTCCTTTAGTATTTGGTTGTTTGCTTTTTGTTACAGTGAAAATGATAGCCAAAAAAGTCAAAATGCTTCTTGTTAAAACACCTGGCTTTTTAACTTTGGGGACAGTAGTCACAGAAAAAAATACTCTTACACAAACTGTGTAACTGAGAAATAAATGGACCCATGCCTGATCCACCAGTTTGAGGCCAATGGTGCTGTGGCTTTTTCCTCAGTAACACTAAAACCCCACTACTAGTATCAGACCTTAAAATCCTATCCATACTAAAGGAAACCACCATGGAAAGGAGGTGTGTGTGTGTGTGTGTGTGTGTGTGTGTGTGCATGTGTGTGCATGTGTGTTTTCTACTTTTCCTAGAACAGTTTTCCTTTTCAAATATTAACTCTGTGACTTCATCAAATCTCATTCTTCTTTTACTCAATCTGTTATTTTATGTCTTTTCCAAATCTTCACAAATGGCAAAGACCTCTCTCTAGAGCTACCTTTAATTCTCATATCTGCTTGTTTCTGCTGTGTGGGCTTCCAAGTTTAGAGTGTAGAGAATGATGTGAACATGCAAGAGGTTCTTATTAGACCAGAGGGCACTTTCCTTTCAATCTACCTCTGGCATTCTGCAGGGCACAAAACTGGATACATCCTAGTTCCTTGTTGACACAGCGCATTGCTGAAGAAGCAGGCACATCCTTGTAACCAGTGGTCAATGTGATTAGCTCTTTAGGATAACCAAAGAACATGGGAACATATCCATCTCTGGCTAACTAAACACTACTATTGCCTATTTCTTCAGTGGTGCCTCGCCATTGTCTGTAAGCCGCACCAACCTTTGCAGTTTCAATGACATATGCTGGCCCCCTAGTCTTCGTAAAGGGGTCTTTGAAACAGCAAGTAGAGGGTTGTCCAAACCAGTTTAACAATTCTTATAACTTTAGACATTGAGTGAGGTAGCTTACACATTATCAGCTTTAGCTCTAGACATAACAGGTGGAATTGGAAATGAGATCACTTAAACTACTAATAATTAAACAGGTTTGTTTTCAAGACAGAAAGCTGTTATGTACCTCTTGTCTGACAGAATTGTGCAACGCTTTCTACTAACTCTGAAATGCACGCTCTGGAGGATTAATGATACAGAAGGTATCTGAGTACACAAGAGCCTTAGGAATATTCTTTCTAGAAACACAAAGAGTGGAGACAGTTGCTAGAGGGGAGATTTCACTTATACAGTCTAAATTGGGTCTAACTGTCCCCTTGCAAGTTGAGAGTAATTTCAATAAGACATCTACCTTCTGAGAGGCAGTGTGGCAGTTCAGTTCACTACAAGACTGAATCCAGCTATTTCTGCTTTGGAATAGTAATTTTTTTTCTTCGTGAAAATTTCACACTTTACTAGCCTATTACATTTTTTCGACTGAAGATCTGTCATTTTAAAAGGACAATTGACTAGGGTTTCTAACTGACAGATTTGTAAAGCAATCTGAATTGGACATTCTATGGATTCAACCTGCATGTGAGGTTTCCTCATAAATTTGACATCCAACCTGAAAAGAATTCTATAAAAGTGCTTCCAGGTCCCCTTTGAAATAGCAAAAGTGCAGCAAAAACCCAAGTTAAAACAACTGTCCATCAACCTGTTATTTAAAAGACAGACTGAAAAGTCAACAGACGTCTTTGTTTTGTGTGCAATTGCCTTTATAAGCAAATTTTAGGTTGGAATGAGGAGCTCCTAGTTCATCATGTTGGACACTGTCCTCGCTGCCGCAGGCTGTTGAAGTGTGCCTCCTTTAAGATCCGGTTAATGTGGGAGTAAGGACCTTGGTAGAGTGCGTACTCCTCATATAAGGACTGAGGGGTACTCATGTTGGGGTCAGCAACCACCTGGTTTAAGCCACTTTCTGGTCCAATTACTCTCTCTGGGATATTAACGCTGCTGCTGCTCCTGTCACTATCATTGCTTGACGACTGGGAGGATAAAAACAGGAAGAGAATGAGTATTATGCTATTACACTATTTTTCCTATTCATCTTGGAGAACAGCAGCATCAAAGCCTAAAGGGATTAGAAAACTACAGCCACTTAAAGTATTTCAATCTGTGCTCACAGCACAACCGCCCCAGAATTCAGCTGGGATTAATAGCCACCATTTTACAGAGGAGGAAACTGAGATCCACTGACTTGCCCAGCGTCACATAGCCAGGAAGTGACAGAGTGGGGATTCAAACACAGGCCTTCTGAGTTCAAATCCCTTCACAAATCCTTTGTCCCTGTGTGTTGCACTTATCAAGTTCTCACCCTCCAAGGGAAAGCATCAATCAATGCTACAGAATGCAGTAAATGTACGTCCATAAAGAATAAGATCGATTCTGGGCACAAGCTAAAATAAAAGAAATAAATTGGTACATACATACAGTTATGCATCCATATATACATACATGCACACACATATACAGACCTCTGATGATTCTGTACATATCCCCTGATAGTAGGCATATGTGGTCCTCCTATATTAACACAAGGCTACACACAGATCCTGGAAGGCACTCGATATACTTTTTGTAAAAGTTACATGTTAATTATTGGCATTTTTAAGACTAGTACTTATCGTTGCTCTAAATATACGGATTAGATATGGGGGTGTATGTGTGGGTGTCTGCACCTAAGAATTTTTTTTTAATTGAACTAACATGACTCAGAGTCATTATCATATTAGAGAAACTACTAGGGATTCCTGAAAACAATCATCGTCAAGAATTTCCTCCCTTCCAATGTTAGGATTCTCAAAGGAGAAGGTAATGAGAAGGAACCACATTTGAACTACAATACTTAACAATTTTGGTATTGCATTTCTTATATGCAAGCTTTACCAAAGGTAACCTTAATGAGACTTAAACCAAGAATGGTCATGGCCCATTGGTCTTTTGGAGCTTTTCAACATAGGTCATACACTTCACTGCCCACAAGTCCTAATAGACAACTTATGTCCATCTTTATGTAGTTAGAAACATATATTAAAAGAACTGTCCGAGAAAGAGTTAGGATGAGCCAATGGAACCCGATATGATGGTTATCACCAACAGCAGTGAAGTTGACTTCAGGACTTAATGCAAAGGCCTATTCGAAAAAATTCCAAAAAGATGATTTTCCTAGCCTAAGGGTAAAAATCTGAAATCTCCACTGGCATAAAATAGTGCAGTTATGAATATTCAAAAATAAGTAGGTTTTACATTGGATAAGACACCCACCGCAAACACTTTGGTTCCTCTTAGTTGGTCTTCCTTATTATTTATCATTACAGGTACTGTCTGAAAAACAAAGCAAGAACTGTAATTACTTTCTGGTGAATCAAATTTCATCTCAAATGACAATATATCCATTTTACAGTATACTGTAACACTAGGTGGCGCTAGGCTATGAAATAGTACTTTAAAATTAACAAGCTAGAAGAGATTTATGCAGAATAATTGTTAAGAACAAAATAGATCTGCCTCCAATTTCTAGTTCATTTAAAATATTTTAAAACTCACTTGTATAGGGACATAAGTATCAATGTTCACTGTGACATTGCTTATAATATCAGCATTGTTGTTAATAGCTGAAAATCAGAAACAAGCCCCCAAACAGGATAGCAGTTAAATTATAGTGCATCCATTCATACAATGCAATTTTGTCAGCCATTAACAATGATGATATAGTTGTATCTGTACTGATATGGGTGAATGTCCTCGGCATCATTTGATTAGATGTCATGTTTTACATATACATATATATATGTGTGTGTATATATATAGATATATATAATAATATATATCTATATATATATAATTTGAGACTTTAGACCCTTTTTTAATCTTTGTTTTTTGGTTTTTCAAATATATTTTCACTTTCTAAAGCATCCACAACAAATGTATTTATTTTGTGAAAAACATTTATTTCATTTGCAAAACCAAGGGAAATTTCCTGCTTTTCGATTCAGTTACTTTTTTGACTTCAAAACAAAGAGTTAAAATGAACTGTGATGCCGTAAATGAGATTTCCTTTACACTGCTAAAGAACACCTCAAACATCATGTCATATCCCACTAGCATTTTCTATGCCAATGGTGCTCATTATCTAATAAACATGGCCTATATTATACAACCCTGGGCCTTGTCACATCTTACCCTTTCGAATGTACTTCATGTGACATATCTCTTGCTTAATGAATTCTATCATTGTCAGAGTGCTTGGGATGAAAAGGTTTCTCCTTGATAGTGTACGGTTTTGACACTCAAAACTGCTACCTTAGCACAGAATCATTTTCCTTATTTCACTTGATTTTAGAAAGAGAGCAAATTCTTTTACCGGAAGAGAAATGAGATTTTAAATATTTCAAGATTGAGAAAGACCCATAAAACATAAATCCTTTTCACTATCCCCCCGATTCCTCAAAGAAACTTCTCATCAGAGTGCTTACCCTATTTTTCAGTTACAAAGCTCATCCTTTTTCCTCCAACCATTCAATAGAAGCTTAGTGCTGAGATCTGTGCAAGGCAAATGAGAACAGGCCTATGTGCTGCAAAACCAAAACCCTTGTAAATGCAAGTACATCGCAAAACAAAATTACATTTATAAAGACCCCGACCAAGGGTTTCTCACTTAATGATTTCACAAAAGTGTCACATAAAAGTCCTGGGGTCTAGGTCTGTGTGAAAAGGCAGGATTTTAGATTAGTTTGGGCCGCAATGAAATCTGCCTGTTACCTCTGTAACCAAAGAAGCTTCCTTCAGTTGAGTCCAGCAGAGATTTTTCCATAACACCTTCTATTTGGGGATGATCATCAGAACCACCCCCTGCCCGTGGGGCTTTTTATTTATTTTATTCACGTGCACATGCCAGGGCCTCATCTTTGAGAGGCTACCTCATGTAGGCACAGGTGGTTCTGATGCCCAACCACTATCCAAACAAATACTTGTGTGCCTACTATGTACAACCAGGTGCTTTGCCGGGGATACTTGGGGACTTGAACAACGGCTAATTCCTGAGCCCAATCAAGAAGAACTCTTTGAGGATGACAGCGTCAAGCTACTGCAATGGCAGGGATGTAGCAACGAATGCTGACTGGGGAAACAGGAGAGACTCCTTGAAATGAATGGCATCTGAACTGGGCCTTGGAGGATGGGGAGAATATTAATAAGACGGATGTGACACATGGGGGGAACAATAAGAGCACAAGCAGGGTGAAGAGGAGATTTCAAGGAGACCTGGCTAGTAATACGATGTGACTGGGGCTTCCCAGGGAGGAGTTTGTGGGAGATAAAATATGCAAGAGAAGAAAGGGCTAGGCTATCAAGAACCTTGAATGTCACGCTGAGAAGTCTGTCGGAACAGGTACTTGAGACCAAGAGATATGCTCAGATATACATTTAGGAAGAGGATTCTAGGGATGAACAGAGTAGAAAGAGAAAGAGTACAGAGACCACCTAGGAAATTTTGCAATACATCAAGCAAGAGGCAAAGCAGGCCTGAACGAGGATGGAGGAAATGTGAAGGAAGATACACATCAAAAGTAGGATAGGAGGAGTCACTGAGGAAATGACAGAGGCAGCTATGTTGACCCCAACCACCCAGGACAATGCTTGGCAAGTAGCAGGTGCTCCGTAAATAGCTGCTGAACAATTTAGCAAGATCTTAGGCCACTCCTGGCACGTTAGAGAAGAGTAGTAGGTGGGGTTTGAGGAACCAACTTTTAGTGAGTAGTTGCATGAAGGGAATAAGAAATAACAGGCAGTGAAAGCAGATTACAGCTGGGAGGTAAAGGGGAGAAGAGATCAATCATCTCCACAGAAAAGTAAGGTAGGCCCAAAATGAGTTAGGAACAGGAAAGAGCACCGTACCGGGCAAATGAAAGAACCAGTGGATAAACTGAATCTGAAGAGACAAGGAGGAATGTTAATTACAGAGCATCTTCATCAAAAGAGAACAGGAATACGTGTGTATATTTACAACACAGAATTATGTAATTCTCCTTAATTGTAAAAGCAGATTAAGCCAGTATTTTGTTTTCCTTTAAGCCCTAGCTTCCCTCTCAATTCCATCCCTCCATGCCTCAGAGCTTTTCATTTATGTGAACCCCAAGAACAAAAACGTTTTTCAACTGTACTGCATATTCCATACTTGCCATCATAATATGATGTTTATTCTAAGGCAACTGCAGAAACTAGATTCAGCAAGTCAGATGATCCTAACCAAGTCCATCCAAGCACTTAAAGTACGTGCTTCCAAAGTTGCAACATACCAACAATGAAAAGCTCATGCTCACTCACACCAATGAGATACTGCAGAACTTTATGAACCATAAGATACCAAATCAATTTGGCTGCTGAATTACAACCACTTTCCAAATTAGTAAAGCGATGGTACTCATGTGTTAACTTCTCTGTGTCAATGGGATACAAAATTTATACTTTCTGTAGCTCAGTTTCCCTCATAAAATGAACTTGGACTAGACATTGAGTTTTAAGTTCCTTTCCAACTCAAAAATTATATTTATCATAGAATCTATATAAGTACAAAACAATTTAAACAACTTCACCTCGTTTCAACTCAGTAAATGGGATTTGAACAAACAAAACATCTGTAGAAAAACGTGTGTGTGTGTGTGTGTGTAGCTTTAATTCCTTAAAACAACTTCAATTTTAACATTCAGTTACAATATAAAACTGCTTGAGATTGCTTGGTATATACAACATGAACAAGGTTTCATAAAATGCACGTAACAGATTAGACCATCTTTGGAAAGGGTGGTCCCTGCGTTTTGAATGTATCTTTTAAGTAGAGGTTAATTTCAGAAGTTACCATTTTGCCATAGGTTATAAAAACATACTAACAACCATTATTTTGTTCAATGACAGTTTCATCCGAAATAAGATCTCCCAAAGCAGTTCTGTGTCTCAGAATGTGTATAATTAAATTCGATGAGAATGACCCAAATGTGCAAACAACCTAAGTGAAAACATTTTTCAAAAATTATGCCAAATGTTCCACGTGTCATATGAATTGACATTTAAACAAGACCTGACAAAGAGACAGCTCCTACCAGTTAAAAAAAAAGGGGGGGGGGCGTGGATGTACAGAATTCTAATTTTAAACATAGGCGGGGGCCCCCGGTTCTATTGTTCTCTCATTCATCTTCCTTCTGCTGCTCCCTTGGAATTCCTAGCATTAGGATATCAAATCTTTTCCAATTCAGGTAGGGAAGAAAAAAAGACAGATCTGTTCCAGATAAGCCACTCCTGTTTATATCTACACATTTTTTTCACTCTCGATTTCTTGCTACTACTTGGTAATCTGAAAACTAAAAAGGAATGGTCTTGGTAACTAGGACAGACAAAAAACATTAGTGTCCTTGTGTTTGCCATTTCTAGAAGTCTTATACTTATGTACGAGGGGACAGATTTACAGGAAAAGTGGTGGTGTCATTTGTAAAGCTGTAAGGTTGGGAAAAAAAAAGAGCAATACTCCTATACAGGCAAGATATTCAACAAAAAAAAAGGCCAGCATCGAAGAGAGCAAGTTATATGAGTTGTATCTAGCTAAAATTTACCCATCCAAATAGCTTCCCAGGATCTGGGACTATCACCACCTGCATACAGGTTCCAGGAAGAGGACACAGACTGATAATCATTTCGCCTCTTGTTCACAAAAGGGACAAGTGAGCACTACTTAGTCATTAACTAACAGGATTCATCCAGAAGGACTTAACAAGGTTCCTTTAATCCTCTCCTAGTAAACGATATCTCAGTTAAAACAATATCATGCTAATGACCACAAGTTATTAAAATTCAGGTTCTTCCATTCAAGCACCATTAAAGCTTTGCAAATCACCAGACTCCCCTAGCCTTAATTTCATTTTCACATTTCCCAGCTAGAAATCAAGAATCTCCTTCTAGCCAGTAACACACCATTATATATCTGAAAACTTATTTTCCATCTAAAAATAAGGGAGGGGGTAAGATTATATTATTCCCTGCTCCTATGACAGGAGGAAAGTCTAAGACCTAGCTCTTCTTGATTATGTTTTAGCCAAGTCTTTCCTGTGCTTCCCCTCCATCATCTGTGAGATACTACACACCATGGCTAAGGGCTCCAGATCAAAAGCCACTGCAATCAAGCAAGAACACTTTTATGAAGGTTTCTTGGAATGAAGCACTTCTTTGAAGTGCAGGACACAAATTGGATAAGTTAAGTTCAGGAATGTTTGAAATAGACGTGGGCTATCTGATCATATTCCTACCTCTGCATCCTGAGACTCCTGAGACACAGGGTTTCTCCTGCTCCTTTTGGACTGGGGAGAATAGTGGTTGTCCTCTTTGCTGTCATTCCTTTTTCGTTTCCTGAAAATAAACCACAAGAGAGAGGAGAGAATATCATCCAACAGTCGACCTTCTGGACACTTAAATTGCAAGCCAGTGGCAACATGATATAGATATAGATATAGATATAGATATAGATATAGATATAGATATAGATATAGATATAGATATAGATATAGATTTGAAATCTTGTCTGAGAAAATACAAGTCATCATCTGCTACTCCGTTGATTTAAAGTCAGAAGAATACATCACCAGGCACCAAGAGGGAAAATATAAAACAGGAACTCTAAGAAAAGTCAAGCTCTAAATTTCGTTTTGAAACATTAGCTTCTTAATTTTAAATGACTCTTGGGAATAAAATAAGAACAGGAAGAATTTAACAGCTACGTTCTCAAAATCTACCTAATTACGTTCATTGTCTTCATTCCCTGAAATTACAATTCCAGCTTAAGTGATTTTTAAGCCCTTCCATATGATAACACTTAAGACAGGTATGGCTGCCAGTGCCTCTTTCCTGTTAACATTCTTGTGAAAGTGGTATAGGTTCAAATAAACACTGCAAAGAGTTTCCAGGTGTGCTGTTAGGCAGTCACTGTGGCCATTATGACATAATGCTTACTGCACTAGATAGTCATCATGAGACTGTGACTGATTACTAACTTGAAATATGGCCCCTCAAAAATATTGTTAATGGTTGGTAAGATTACATCTTCAGCCCAAGTCCCCTTTTAGTAAGTAATCAGACTACAGCACTTGACAATACACTTCTTGCTGTCACCCTATAGTTAAGCAGTCATTCTTCCAAGCCATCTCCTTAGAGAGTACTTGTAAGTTCATGATACCCCTAAGGATGGCTGAGTCTACTCATTTTTATAATTCCACTTCTCTCCAATCTTCCTCCTATCTCTGAGTACTGAGTCCCATAAAGTAGTGATTTCAAACTCTTTGTTAAAGAAACTCTTTTCTTAACAACAACAAAAAATCAATAAACGAGGGAAAAAAGAGGAGTTACTGTATTGATAACACAGTCTCTTTCACCACACCCTCTCCTGTACCTCCTTCCCTGTGCCCCTGTGCCACCCACTAACTTAGCCTGACTTTCTAAACACTGAGGAAACAGCAGGCCCAAAGAAGCAAAGTGACTCAGAGTAAGCTAAGTAAGGCTGGTAGAAGTAGAACTGGAAGGGAAGTTCTCTTGAGCCCTGGCCCAAGACCCTCCAGGAAGCCCTACAGGAGTAAAACTTAACAGAAGAGCTGCATGTCCAATCAAATGATGTCTTTATGGTAAACAAGTTGTCAGTACAAATTAATTCAGATAATTTGTGCACAGTGCAGTTAAAAGAGAACTTTTTTTTTTGGAAGAAAATACGGGCTATTTTTTTTTCAACTATATGAGCCAAAGAAACTTCAGAAATATTAGCTGGACTTGGTAAGAAAAAGGCCACTGCAGTCAGATCAGACTCCATTTGTACACACTGCTTGCTGTCCAGTGACTGTGCTCCTAATTGCAATAGCATGTCGGTAACTGGGGCCTTACGTTTATATCTAGGACCAGAGAATACACTAATACAGGGCCAAGTGGCCCTGGCGATATTGGCCAAAGAAGCAAAGCGTGATAACGGTGAGGTCCGGAGACGGACCGGAAGGGGCCAAAGTGGCCCTGGAAAACCGTCCCCAACACGCCAGCCTTCTCTAGTCCCGCCCCTGGAACCATAGCAACAGCGGCAGGAAGTCCGGGCGCCCTGCAGACGCAGGCTCAGGGGGCGGGGCTACGCTCCGATGGGCGGGTTCTGGGCCTGCGCGCGGGAGCCCAGTGAGGTCCGTGCCAGTCTCCCTGCCCGGTTCCCCTGGAGGTTTCGTCTTGCACCCTGACTGAACTGTTGACTAAGGGAACGGAACGGTGATGTCCTGGTCCTGTCGCCCGTTGCCCAGCACCCCCACGTGCGGGGCCCGTACCAATCCCCTGGTCATTGTCCTCCCGCCCACCCCAGGCCTATGAAAGCGCTTGTCCCGTCGTGGCACACACACTGTCCTCCTCTCAGCCCTCACTCTTCGGATCCGTCCTGGCGATCCCAGTGCCCACTCACAGGGTCAACCAGGGGCCTCTCTGTCCTCAGCGATGTTCTCCTCCTCCCCACTCGAGCATCCCCCTGCCCACGGTCGCTCTCTGGGCATCAGGAAAGACTGCGAACCTCATGATGTCCGTTTCTAGCATTCCTGTCTCATCACCGCCAACACAGTGTCCCTGGGTCCAGCTCCCTCTCTCGAATGCCCCTGCACCGACAGCCTTCAACCTCCTGGAGGACCTCTAAGACTGGCCTCCAGTCCACCGAGCCCACCGAGCCCACCACCTTCCTCAGGATCCACCAGCCCCTCAGTACTCAGCTTACTCAAGGCTATAAATTCTCCCCTCAAACATACTGCATATGTTCCTTTCTCCCTCCTTCCTACTCCCCTGGCAAATGGACAACCTCTTTGCACCCTCCACACCTGTAGCTTCTCTCTCCTCTACCTACTATAGCCTTTCACAAGCACCAGCACCCACTCTTCTCATGATGTTCAGTAGTAATTGAGAATACAAAAGTGATCGGACGGGAAGTCTCACCACTTGCCAACACTGGTTCTGCACTTGTATTCTCTGCTGCCCATCTGGAGGACGTGACCAGATCCCACTTGAAGCCAGGCCCTTCACCTGGATCCTGGACACTTCCTCTTTCTCAAGGAGAAGGCTTTTGCAATGATCATTCCTTTTTCCTGAATCGTCCCATTCCCCATTTCTTCTGGATTATTCCATCGTCTATAAAGTGGGCAGAAGGATGCCTGGAGTTTAGGAATTTAGTTTTCTGGAGCTGATCTTGGTTCCTGCTGTGGTGATGGGATCTCTAGAGGCTTCATTCCCTGAAGCGGGAATGTGGAATTTGGCTGAGTCCAGAGCCCGGGGTTCTGCCATGAGGGAAGCCTAAACTGTCTAGGGGCTTAGACGGCCCTGCAGCTGAGGCTGTGGAGTGGACGGCCTTGCCCAAGGGTGGGATGGAGGATGAGACCCAGATGCAGAGGAGTCTGCAGATGCCAGCAGAGTGGCTGAGGCTGAGTCAGCCAGGGAGCACCAGGTGCCCACCAAGAAGAGAGTGACAAAAGAAAGAAAGAAAAAAAAAAGGTAATTTTAGCCAGCCTCACGCGTGGGTGGTGCAGGTCAGCTTCATCAGCTGGACCTAAGAAATCATTCTTCCCTCAAAACCACCAAGGATACTGTGGGCAGTGTAAGAATTTCACAGACCCCCCTTCCCACATCACCCAGGAGACTTGTAAACTTTGCAATGCTTATGCCCCTTCCCCACCTTGGAAAGGAGCAGGGCAGTGGGGTGGAAATCTGAGAGACAGCATTTTCATCAAAACAGACAGCATTTATTTGAGTGAACCTTTTATGTGATAACATCAGATTACATTTAGCCAGATTAGCCATAAATTCAGTGGGGTTTTTTTTTGTCCCTTTATATTCACTCCAGAGAGTGGGCCATCATGATAAAGATCAG